TAAACTGCTTTGATTTTTCTTCCCTAACTAACCAAATTACATCCTCACTTCCTCCCCACTTTTATTCCTTCCTTTTTCTAACTTCTAATTTCTCAGAATTCTAGGCCACAGTTTTTGGAGTCAGACTGGTTCAGCCAGGGTTCAAATCCTAATTATATCATTTATTCTGTCTCTCTTTTCTCTTCTCCTACACCCTGTCTTCCTCTTCTTCCTTCTTCTCCTCCTCCTTTCCCTCCTCTTCCTTCTTATTGAGTGTGTGTGTGTGTGTGTGTGTTACTGAGGATTGAAGGAGGGCCTCTTCCAAGTTAGGTACACATGCTACATTGAGCTATATCCTCAGCCCCCTTCTTTCTTGACTTTGAGACAAGGTCTCACTAAACTGTTCAGGCTGGCCTCAAAATTGTGTTCCTCCTGCCTCAGCTTCCCAAATTGCTTGGATTATGCAGCCAACTCTGTCTTGTTCAGGTCACTTCCCCTCTCCATGTCTGTTTCCTCTTCCTTAAAGCAAGGAGATGATATTTCCTAACCTGTGAGGTTGTGGGAAGAAAATAAGACCAAGCTGACCCTTGAGCCAGTCAGGCAGGATTATGGTGGAGTGAAGACAGGTGTAACAGCAGAGGGCAAGTACAAGGACAGGGTATCTGGCAAGGTATCAAGGCTTCTGAGGAAGGCAGATGAGGGTCATGGCAGAGTTAGCAAGAAGACCTGGTGAGTAGAGGAAATGTTCTAAGGAGGGTGAACTGTGTGGTGTTCATTCTACAGCTCAGGTAGATGTAAGCAGGTATTCACAGAGCTGGGACAGGAAGGCAGACTTAGGCTGCAGTAAATTAAGGTAGGGACAGGCTTGAGGATTTTAGAAGTGGCTTGGGCAACCCCCTCAGAATTCACAGAGGCCATCGTACTTCAAAGGGTTGGGAGAAGGATACCGATGCCTGGCTTCTGACCAGAAAAATCATAGACCAGGTGCACGAGAAAAGGAAGCCTTAGGAAGTGAGAGAACTGCTCAGGTGTGGGGATTATAATTAAAGTGACGGTGGGCGATTGGAGTGTCAAAGTTCCCAGCAGACTTGATACTTAGATACTAACTGAAGAGAACCTCATGAGAAGTCTTACACAGTAGCTCAAAAATAAAAATAACCTAACCAAAGAATTTGGTGTCATGGCCTCTTGCCTCGTGTGTGTGTGTGTGTGTGTGTGTGTGTGCACGCGCATGCAGAAATGTTCATGTACATGTTTGTTTTTTACTTTTACAAAATTGATACCCTTAGTGCACCTACCATCTTGAAACCTGCTTTTTTTTCTTTTGCTTGATATTTCTTCAGATACATGTTTCTCTTTTGAGTTATGTAGGCTAATGTAGACCTTTTGGTTGTGTAACTTCCATTTTATGTGTGCCATAATTTATCAACTCATCACTTGGTTTCATTAGTCAGATATGTTCTGAGTACCTGTGGTATTCCTGGCTCATTCTGGGTGCTGAGGTGATTCAGTAGTGAACGAGAAAAGTCTTTGTTCTTCCTGGAGCTAATGATCTAGTTTGATGCAGAAAATAAAAACATTTAAATAGTGGCATAGTGTCAGAGAGTGATAAGTGCTACAAAGAAAAGTATAGGGAGAAGAGAGAAGGGGTTAGAGAAGGTAAGCTATGTGCATATGTGAAAATGTCACAAAGACACCAATATTTTGTTCAATTAATATATGCTAACAATTATAATTTAAAAAGAAAGCTTCGATAAATGCCTCAGCTAAAGGAAAGAGAAGGGAAGGGAAGGATGGAAGGAAGAAAATTAGAAAACTGTCTAGGAAGTGAGCCGGAATGTTTTGAAGATTAATCAACCATCTTGGTTTGCCCAGGATTATACTGGTTTTAGCACTGGGAGCCCTAAGTCCCAGCCAAACCAGGAAAACCCATCATCTGTAATCAGCAGAGGCCTCTCCAAGAGGTGACACAAGCAGGGACTTGTGTCATGTTAGTAGAAACCAGCCCTGCACAGGTCTAGGGCAGAGCTTTCTAAGCAGAGGGAAAAATAAGCACAAGGCGTCAGAGATGAGAGGGTACTTTATGTGTTGAGCAACAGCTGGAGCAACCTAGGGATGGATGAAGAGAGTGGATGCCCTGGGGACAGTCACTTAACATAATGTCCTCCAGGTTCCTCCCTGAGTTATATTCAGATAGATAGATGGATGGATAGATAGATAGATAGATAGATAGATCACAGTTGCTTTATCCATTCAGCCACTGATGGATACTGAGATCAATCCCCTATCTTGACTATTATGAATAGTGCTGCAATAAACATGGGAGTGCAGGTTTCTCCTTGACATGCTGGTTTTCTTTTCCAGATAGATTTGAATGGGATTTCATGATGGAGTGGAGGTGGAGTAAAAGTGTAAAGTTTCAAGAATGAATTACAAGTTGCTAGCTTGAAGTTTTTAGTAGGTCATAGTGAGATGACTGAGGGAGGAGCAGATGGCTGAGGCAGGAGAAAGAAGAGGAGTTGAGAGCCTTGTTTTGGACATGTGAAGGCTGAGATACTTCTAGATATCTAGCAAATTGTCAGGAAGCAGATGTATAAAGCCATCATTATGGAAAGATCAGAATTAAAGAGATAAATCTGGGAACTGTCTAATATAGTTGGTTAAGCCATGAAACTGGTTTTGATCCACTAAGAAACAAGTATAGAGATCCAAGGACTGAGCCAAGGTTAAAGAATGAAAAGAGGAAAGAATTCAGGATAAGAGACAGAGAAGTCAGTAATATAAGGAGCACCAGGAGCTCCCAAAGCCAAGTGGGTAAAATGAGTGTGCCAAAGCCTTCAAAGAGCTGGGCATGTTGGTGCATGCCTGTAATCCCAGCACTCTGGAGGGGTGAGACTAAGGGATTACAAGTTCGTGCCCAGTCTGGACCACTTTGTGCCTATCTTAAAACTGAAAAATAAGCCCAGGCATGGTGGCATTTGCCTGTAATCCCACCACTCAAGAAGCCAAGGCAAAAGGATTCACCATAGTTTGAGGCCAGCCTGGGCTACATAGTGAGTTAAAGGCCACCCTGGAATATATTGAGACCCTGTCTCAAAAAAACAAAAACAGAGCTGGGGATTTAGCTCAGTGGTTCCACCGCCTGCCTGTAAGAGCAAGGTCCCAAGTTTGATCCCCAGTATCAAAAAAAAAATAAAATAAAATAAAAATAAAAATAAAAATATAAAGTAAAAAAAAAAAGGGCTTGGAATGTAGCTCAGGTTCTGGGCCCAGTCTCCAGTTATGCACTCGCGTGCACACGCAAACACACACACACACACACAGAGAAGAAAAAAAAGAAGGCAAGATGAGAGATGAGGATGAAGTGTTTCTCCCTGTCTTTGGCATATGTAAGCCACCATCCACAGATGCATTGGAGTGTTGTGATGGAGCCCTTCTTAGAATGGGTTCAAAGAGAAAAGGAAACAGAGTGGAAATGATAAACCCAGAAGACTCTTGAGGAGTTTAACTGAAAAGAACAAAGAAATGAAGCAGCATCTCAATAGGGCAAGAAGGGTGTAAGGTGAAAAGCAGGAGCTCTCACAGCTGCAAGGTATTCTGAAGTGCCCTATACGGGGACCTTGAGGTTGTTATACTATGGTTATTTCCTCTTACAAGTAGTGCTTGTTGTTGAAAAGAAATGTCCTTGTTTTGGGTATGTGTTTTGTCAACAAGACATCCAGAACATCTGTGTACTGGTTCAACATTTCTGTTTTGTGGAAAGGTGACGGGCTTTGACACTGTTTACTCCATTTTTCTTGGACCAACACTTCCAGGTTTCCTGCATTTCAGAGCCTGCAGAGAATTATATAGCCTGTGTGGCCATGTGGAACGTTCCAGAAGGTCAGAGAATATTGGGCCCGTCAACTCTTCCTTCTTTCCCACCTTCCTTCCTTCATCCCTCCCTTCCTTCCTTCCTTCCTTCCACAGAATACTTTCTCACCCCTCATGAGGGCCTAGGGAAAGGAAGGATCCCTGCACAAACCCAATTCTTCAACAGACAGCAAGGCCTTTGTGGGGCAGGATGCCCCAGAGTGCTTCCCCTACATAGCAGGAGAGCTGTGGGCCAACCAGGCCTGCCATGTGGACAGTGGTCCCAAGCCCTTGAGGGGCCAAAAGGGAAGACCCAAAGGGCCAAGTGCTCAGCAGTGAAAGACCAGGGCCAGCTGGCCTGAGCCCCAACTTCAACTTTCTCTGAAATCCCTGTTGGTTCTTGGGAATGGATTGCTTTCAGCAGTTAAGGTTCAAGCCCCAGCAACTGCTGCTTCTGTTTAGACCAGAGGTCTGTGCAGCACCTAGGAAGTGTGTTCTTAGGTCCGGGCCTCCTATACATTGTGCCCGTGAGCACACACACACAGAAATTTACTGCTGTACACCAGTGTGGACACAGACACACAAATGAGGTGCCTGTATGCACTTGTGTGGCTACACAATCAAATATGCACATATTAACACACACTCATACTCATGCAAACAGATAACCAGTCACAAGCATGCTGACATATATGAATAAGAAACATACCTGACACAAACTATACAGACACAATGAAGCACATCCACAACACACACACAGAGAAGCACAACAATGCACAGACACAGATATAAATGCATGGCACGTAGATGCATTCTCACATATACACACATGACACAAGTACATGAACTACAGGGTCACACTGATACATCAAGGCACACTGAAATATATCTGTGTGTAAAATGCTTGCTTACACACACAACATGCACCCTGACCCACAGATCACAATCACTGTCTCACAAGCCCTAGGGTCCAGGCTCTCCTGAACTGTTGTCCACTTCCCTCTTTTATTTTCCCAGAGGAAAATGGTGTCCCTGAGGAAACAGAGGTCTCCTGTCCCATCTTAAGCTCTGCTGGATCCCGTGTGACATCAGCCAGCCTCTCACTGCCACCACCAACACTGGGAGTTGTGAGCTTTGCACTGGGCTGAGCTGGCACCAGGCACTGACACTTGAGCTCTTGTTGGGAGAACAGAGAGAGGCTCTTGTCTGCTGCCTGTCCTTGGCTCCCCTGCTGGGTCCTCCGGAGGCTTTTCCTCAGGCTTCCAGGTACTTGGTAAGGTCTGTGCCCTGCACCAGAGCCCTAGGCGGGTGTGGCCTTGTTTCAGGATGCCCTTGGGAGCCAGCCCAGCTGTACTCCTTCCTCTACACCGCCACAGCTTGCTTTCTTGAGGCCTGGCAAGGCGGGCCTCTTAGGGAAAGCTGGCTGCAGGATTCCCTCCCTTCCTCTGTGGTCACTTTCCTAGCTCCAGAGAAGGCCACTGAATGGCCTTGTAACAATTGGTGATATCTACTCAGAGAGGCCCTTGGGTTGCACAATTTCCAGCAGCCCTGTGAGCAATTGGTCTCCTAGGTGAGATCTTAGCTCTTAACCTTGACCTTTGAAGTGGAAAGTGCAGGGCTTGTGGGGTCCTGAGCATCCTAAACCAGGGCCAAGACACCCTGGCTTCTTCCACATCTCAGGGCAAGGGCAGGGAAAACATATCACTGCTCGCTGCTTAGACCACCTGGTCACTCCCTCTGCTGCCTGACCTCAAATAGACACTGGCCAGTCTTGGAGCTCTCTTTTGTTTTGGTACTGGGGATCGAACTCAGGACCTTGCGTTTGTGAGGCAGGAGGTGGAACCACTGAGCTAAATCCCCAGCCCTTGGGGCTCTCTTTGACTCCAGTCCCGGCCCCCAGGGCAGCTGCTCTTCCTAGACACTGAGTGGAAGTCCTTGTGGCAAAATTATAGTTAGCACGGAGCCCATTCTGGGACCATCCACAGGAAGTGGGGGTCTGAGTCTGGGGATTATAGCCTGCCCCTCACAAACTGAGATCCGAGAAAGCCCTTTTCTAGGCCTCAGGTGCCCACTTGCGAAGTAAAGGAAAGGATTCAGACTTTAGGCCTGCAAGATTTCTTCCTGCCTTGGTTCTGGAGCTGCTGTGGTTTACAGGGGTCTTGCTGCCCTGGCTGAACCCAGCCTCTGAAAAGACCCATCCTGGGACAGGTTATCCCTCACTGTCCCCCTCCATTCTGCCAGAGATGTTTAGTGACGAAGGCAGGGTCCAAGGGACATCATTTCTTGTCCTATCTATGCAGAGGTTGCTAAGCTCCGGGATAGGAGCTGCTCAAGCTTAGGCAGGGGTTCAGGGGTGGGGAGCAGGAGAAGGCAGCCATGCCTGAATCACTGGAAGAGGACTCTCTCATACCTCTTCTCCCTATATCTCTACAGCCCACCTGATTGCGACTACAGAATGGCCTCCAGCCCAGCTGGGATCCCTAGCCCACAGGTGAGTAGTCCTTGGTCTCCCACTCAGCACCAGGGGCTCACTTTCCTCCCAAGGTTGCATAAATCTGAAGAGACACTGGCCAGTCCCATAGGCTGTCCTAGACCAGGACTGGGAGCCAGCAGGGATCACACTGTCTCACAGAGGTGGGCCATTTGAAGAGAAAATTGAGGAGAGATTTGTGCGAGGACTTCAAGCAGATGGGATGGAAAAGTTATGGAATTGGTTGTGAAGACAGACGGGGTTAAATCCTGGCCTAGTTGCCTATAAGACCTTGGACCACTCCTCCTGGTCTCACTTTCCTCATTCTTACAACTGGCACAACAGTCAGCAGTCCACTGTGGCTGTTATGAGAAACGGGCGATAGGGAGAGGATTGGATGGATGGGTGGATGGGTAGGTGGGTAGAAAAGTGGAAAGAAATGGAGGGAGGGAGGGGCAGAAACAGGCTAGTAGAGATGTTGAAGAAGGAACCAGGCCTGGGGTGGAGAAAGAGAGGGGACCTATTAATCACCTCTTTTTAAAAATGTCTTCAGCCTCCCAGGGCCAATAGGAACATCAACCTGGGGCCTTCAGCCAACCCAAAGTGAGTTCTGGTCTGTCAAGTGACTTTCCTACCTGGCTTCCCTCAGAGCTACCTCCCCTTGCCTTGCGAATAAAATCCAGAGTCTCTGATATGGTGATGAAGTCCTCCTCGTCCCAGCTCGCCCCACCTGCACCCCAGCTTCCTCATCCATTAATTCCCCAGCCACTGCCCGTGCTGAGCTCTTGCCTGCCATACCCCCTAACATCGGAACTGATAGCACTTCTCCAGACACAGGCCATTCTCAGGGTGGAGGGCCGGGCCCTGCTTTCTCTGCAGTGAGCTGTTTCCCTCTCCTTGCCTGTTGTCAGCCGGACTATGAGCTTCCTGAGGGGAAGGACAAATCATACAAGCCTCTCTCGGTGGGGAGGATGAGTTCTTTAGGGTCAAGGAGATGTGGCCTCTAGAAGGCTGCCAGCATTTTTGAATCCCAAACTTAAAAAGAAGCCTGGATTTGCACTCAGGAGCCTGTATATTGTTGATCCACGTTCTTCTCTCTTCCCCCAGTGCCTGTCCCACAGACTTCGACTTCCTCAAAGTCATTGGTAAAGGGAACTATGGGAGGGTAAGTTGAGAGGAGAGAGTGGGTTTGCCCCACTTCAGCTTCCTTTGCCCCCTGCCTGCATGTGTAAAGTGAGAGCTTGTGTCAAGCACGTGCAAAGAGAGAGCTCACATTCCTATATAAGAGAAGCGGTCATTCATACGGTTCTGCCTTTGTGCTTCTACTCAGGTCCTGTTGGCCAAGCGCAAGTCTGACAGGACTTTCTACGCGGTGAAAGTGCTGCAGAAAAAGTCCATTTTAAAGAACAAAGAGGTAAGAGAGCTCAGGCACAGGCACTTCCTCTTCTCAAAAAGCTCTCCAGCCCTATGTTGCTTCCAAAATTGATCCCATCTCCAAGAGCTGGATACAGAAGTGGTGACAGCAGGGGACCCAGTAGATATTCAGTACGCTGCTCCTTCTCAGGTAAGGCGGTGCCCAAGGGGAAATACAGGGCTGCATGAAGGATCGTTTTCTGACCTGTCAAGGTGCCAGGCTCCCCATCTGCACACTTTGTACTCTCCCAATGCCCTCTAAGCCAAGGCCAGCCTGGCCACCTATTGAGTCCCTTCAACATCAAACCCTACTAGGAGAACAGAGAGAAAGGATCAAATTTCAACAAGGGACTCAGGAGAGTGACTAATACTAGTGAGAATATCATGAGGGTAGGAGGTGAGCTCTTTCTGAAGGAGCTGGTCTTGACAGTAGCATTCCAGTGATCTAAAAGGAGGGTGGGATGCCCAGGCAGGGAAAATACCATGAACAAAGGCATGAATATCCATAGAATATGGCTCTTTTTTTTTTATACAGATTTTCTCTGAGACTCATTTATATAATCATCAGATATGCTTTGGTTTTCTCTCTGGGAACAGGAATTTCTAGTCCAGGGGCTGAAACTATACTGACAAGGAGTGGCTTGGGATGAGTCTGACCATCCTGGCCCCTGAATACTAGCAAGGAGCTTGGGCTTGGCTCTCAGGGGCAATGGGGAGCCACCCACAGGGACCTGAGCACGAGGAAGTCCTCGTCAGGACACCCCCATCATCAAGGCCATGTGAGGTTGTACTGGGATGAAAGGGGCTGTGGTGGGCTGTGACATGGTCCCCTGTTTGTATGGCTCCACAGCAGGGCCACATCATGGCAGAGCGCAACGTGCTGGTGAAGAATGTGCAGCATCCGTTCCTTGTGGGCCTGCGCTATTCCTTCCAGACCTCTGAGAAGCTCTACTTTGTGCTTGACTATGTCAATGGAGGGGAGGTGAGTGGGCCCTGGGCCGGCTGCTGGCTAGGAGGTGTCCGTCCCACATACCCACTGTGTGCCAGGTTCTGGAATGATCTCACCACGTTCTTACAACAGACAGACTTTGTAGATGAAGTGATCAAGGTTCGGGGAAGTAACTCGTGCTCAGGGTCACCGGTCCACATGAGGATTTGAGTGTAGGTCTGCCTGAAACCCAACCATAATGCTTCCTTGTCTGTTTCACATGAAGCTGCTCACAGACTCATCTTAATAGATCTAGGAGAGGTCAGTGCTAAGAAGAACTTCATGGTCAAGATTTCTAATGCACCAATTTTACACCATAGGTCACAGGGTAGAGCGTATCCTGTCATTATCAGAATCAGAGCTCTGAGCTGCCCGGTGATGCAGAAGCATGGCTCCGACAATCGGGGCTCCCAGTTGGACTTCATCTCTGTCTCACTGGGCAAGATGGCAACATGTTGTGGGGCTCCCCTCACTGAGCCCAGCTCTCAACTCTATGACCTTTCAGGCCGATGCCAAGAGGGGAGTCTTTGTCCTGTGTCTCTAAGTGAAGGACCTTGCCTATGACAGATGGGACAGGTAACTGGGCTCAGTGTGACAGTCTACATTGATCAGCTTTCCCATTGCTGGCACAAAATACCCAGCACTCGCAACCTAAAGGAGAAGAAGTTTATTTTTGGTTCTTAGTTTCAGAGGGTTCAGACTATAGTAGGCTGGCTACAAGGCAGAAACACCATGGCATGCCCAGCATGATGGCGCACGCCTGTAATCCCAGCACTCGGGAGGCTGAGGGCAGGAAGGTTGCTGAGCGTTCGAGACCAGCTTGGGCTACACAGTGAGTTCCAGGGCAGTCTGAAGTACATAGTGAGACCCTGTCTCAAAAAGAAAAGAAAGAAAAAAAAAGAGAAAGAGAACAAAAGAAACATCATGGCAGAAGGTCATGGCAGAGCAAAGCTGCTCATTTGATGGCTTCCAGAAAGCACCAGAGAGGAAAGAGCTAGGAACCAGTTATATCTCTCAATGTCACACCTCCAGAACTCACCCTGATATACCCAGAAGTCTGCTTCACTAATCTGCTGGGCATCTCTTAATCTAATCAAGTTGATGATGAGGATTAAGGCCCACACAACCTTAATCATTGTCTCTTGAGTTGGAAGAAAAGTACATCTTTGAACCACCATAGTCTCAATCTTGTCTCTGCTAACTGTGAGCTCCATAATCTTTGACAAGTCAACTAACTATTCTGAACCCCCAGGTTCCTCTTACATGAAACCAGCATCATATTTGATGCTTTGAAGGTTGTCATGAGGATCGGAACAAATAAGAGATATGAAAGGGAAGTTGACTTAGCCTGGAACACAGAAGGTGCTTAATCAATGCCAATTAATTTTTCCCTCTGCTGACACTTTGGACATGGTGACTGCTCTGTGGGGGAAAGACCTGCATATACTCTTGGGCCTGCATCTCAGATTAGGGTGGCAGTGGCACAAGGGAGGTGTTATGTGGGCGCCTGTCCCATACTCTGGAACAACCTCTCTCACACCTTTTCCCTCAGCTTTTCTTCCACCTGCAGCGGGAGCGCAGGTTCCTGGAGCCCCGAGCCAGATTCTATGCTGCTGAGGTGGCCAGCGCCATTGGCTACCTGCACTCCCTCAACATCATTTACAGGTGAGGTCCACCAGTGGTTCAGAGCCAGGCCCCACTCCTTCTTGTTCCAACAGCCTGGGGTTGTGTGGACCCCTAAATCCTGACAGAAGTCTAGTGAAGTTGGAGTTTTGTCTGAGGAGGGACCAGCAGCTGGGGTAGGGTTGGGACGTCCTCCTTCCAAGTACCCAGCCTCCCTGCACTTTCCCTCTGTCCCTCTGAAAGCTTCCATAACTTATTTTGTGCAGGGACCTGAAGCCAGAGAACATTCTCTTGGACTGCCAGGTTAGTGGCGGGGGTGGGGAGACATGGTTGCAGTGAGTCTTTGTGCGCATATATGTAAGCATTGTACATGCATGCATTTGGGTAGAGGGTACATTTCTGTGTGTGCATGTGTGTTATATGCGGGGAGACTATGTATACATATTTATGTGTGTACACATGTGTATATTCAAGGACCCAGGTGGGGGCTTGGGGGTGGAGCCAAGTAGAGGTAGTGGATTTTATAGTCCTTCTGTCTTGGACCAGGTTCTCTGGAAACAGACTGAGATGGAGAGGTAAGTGCAGGCAGCTTATTGGGGAGCACCATCCAGATTCAGCTTAAAAAAGGGTGAATAAGACAGGGTTGGTCAGAGGAAGCAGCTCAGTTGCATTGTGGGTGAAAGTGAGGGCTCAGCTGATCTCACAGGGTGGGGACCAGGCTGGGTTCACTCTTTAGGATCATCCCTAGTTGAGGCAAGGAGACTGGGCCTCTGTGTCCCTGTATGGACGAGTCACTGGATGTGGGCTGCCTGTAGGGAGGGGCAGTGTCCAGCAGTGAAGGTGGGCATGGCAATCCAGCATTCTGTCAGGAGATTGCTGTCGAGCAGGAACCTCTGGGGGTGCCACTGTTGTAGGCTTGCGTCTTAGTCTGTGGCGTGCTGGGGAAGACAGTGGAATCCACATCCTCACCTTGTGCCCTTTGGTACTTAATGGCATCCAGGCTAGGAGTCTGAGTCTAAGCAGAGCCTGCAGTTTGCATCTGGGCATTAGACCCCACAGCCACTGCCCTGAGGTGTGGTATGTGGGCTTCGGGTTAGATTGAGCCATATCCTTGGCTTGGCTAAGACCACCCTCCTGTTCGTGTCTCTTGTCATGTCAGGGACATGTGGTGCTGACTGATTTTGGCCTTTGCAAGGAATGTGTAGAGTCTGAGGAGACCACGTCCACATTCTGCGGCACCCCTGAGGTAAGTGTAAGCGTCCTAGGTGAGGGTAGGCCATGAATGGCTGAGGCCACAGCTCCTAAATACAGCCATCAGGTTATAGCTGAGAGGACTTACTTCCTCCATCCCAGCACTTTCTCTGAGCCAGTTTGCACTGAGCCTTGGTTTCCTCAGGGTGACAAGGCCACAAGCTCTTGGGGTAGCTGGGTCCTTGCTGACTGTAGCAAAGCTCTGCAAAGATGTTCAAACCACATGCACAATTTAAAAGTTTCTAGTAACTACATTTGAAAGTTAAAAAAAAACAGAGCTGGCATGTAGCTCATTGGTAGAGCACTTGCCTAGCATGTGTGAGGCCCAAGTTCTACCCTAAGTACCAGCACCTCACAAAAAAGTAAAGAAATAGGTGAAATTAATTTTAACAGTCTATTTTGTTTAACCCCAAATTCTAATTTTAATATACAATCAAGGTAAAATTGTTTAGCTATTGGATTTTTTCTAAGCCTTTGAAATCTAGTACATTAGATGTGCATAGTGCATTTAGTCTCATTCCATGTGTTCAGTAGCCACATGGGCCTGGTGGCTGCTGTGTCAGATGACACAGCCCCACGTGGCGAAGTCCATGGGCAATGCCAGGGCCTGGCCTGAGACTTGAGATCAGGACTTGTGAATGTTAAACGCATACTCATTTCCCTCTTCCCCAGAAGAGCCCAGAGGGTTAAAATCCATGGGTCTCAGCAGTGATTTCATTTGTCTGTCTATCCTGCCAAGGTCTCCCTGCAGCCTTGGGTTACAGCCTTTTCTTGAACTCCCACCATTCTTGGATCTTGCACTACATAGAAAGACCTGGTCTCAAAACAAACAAAACAACAAACTTCTGTGTGATACACAGCACATTCAATTATACAGGAGAGTCCTGCTTGATCTTTATGTCACCAGAACGTGTCGAAGGGCCCTGAAAAATCTAGGCCTTTGGGGAGTAGAAGCTGAATGAGCATGGGCTCCACTACATGAATATCACAGCAGGATCAAGCCCTGCTGACCTTCTGCAAGGGCCTTGTTTTCAGATGTAGAAACTGAGACCGAAGGTCTTTGCAAAGAAGCATATTGCACTGGTCATTGGAGAGATGCAGATGAAAACAACGCTGAGACTCCGCCTCACTCCAAAAAGGACGACTGCTATCAACATATCAACCAATAGCAAATGCCCGTGGGGCTGTGGGGAAAAAGGAACCCTGTTCCACTGCTGGTGAGAGTGTAGACTGATGCAACCACTGTGGAATTCAGTGTGGAGATGTCTCAAAAATCTAAAACTAGAGGTTCCATTTGACCCAGCTGATCCTCTTCTCGGTATCTTCCCAAAAGAATTGAAAGCATCAAACCATGTTGATATATGCACACTCATGTTTATAGCAGCACAGCTTGTAGTAACTAAGTCTTAGAAACAGCCCAAATGCCCATCAACTGACAAGTGAATAAAGAAGTGCTTTTTTACACAACGGAGTACTACTCTGCCATAAAGAAGACAGAGCTTCAGACATTTATAGCTAAACGGATGGATCTTGAGGTCATACTCTAAAGTGAAATAAATCAAACACACAGGTTTAAATACCAAATTGTTTCTCTGGTGTGAGAAACCAAAAGTTGAAATAAGCACTGAAATGTATAATGGATGTTGGGAAATGGGAAGAAGTGTTCAAAGGGGAAGGGGAACAAGGGAGGAGGGAGGGAGACAGGAAGGAAGGGGCAAGGAAAAAAGTGAAAAAAGAAGGGGAAATGGAAACAAAGCTTTTGTATATAGGGAAGGGAGGGGACTTAAGCGGGGCATGGGAAAAATAAAATAAAATTTATTTTTTAAAAAGCAAAATAAGTGTGTTACAGTTAAGCGTGTTTCTCCAACAGTATTTGGCTCCTGAAGTGCTTCGTAAAGAGCCTTATGACCGGGCAGTGGACTGGTGGTGTTTAGGAGCAGTTGTCTACGAGATGCTGCACGGCCTGGTGAGTGAGGTGCTGCTGTCTGCACAGGACATTTGGCCCTGGGCACAGCTGAGGATGGGTCTGTCCAAGCTCTGTGCACAGAATGAAGTGAGTCATCTTGCCCCAAGTGGAGAAAGATGATACCAATGTGAATACAAGGCTTATATCTGTCTTTTCCAAGTTAGTTTGGCACTTAACACTGTATAACACACCACTTTACTGTGGCCACCTCAAAGCAGCCTTTGGAGTCAAGCACTGAAGATTATAGAAGAGTCTTTGTTTTACTGAGAAGGACACGAAGGCCAGGAGAGGTCACAGGGCTGATAGGTTGGGAGCCCACCCTGGGCCTGTGTGGATCCCAAGGCAAGCTCTTCTCTGGGGGTTCACCAGCGTGGCATGGTGCAGGGGAAGCAGTAGGTGCTGTGAGCTCAGGAGAAGGGCTGACAGGTGGAGGAGCAGAAGAGCAGCAGGAAGCAGAGTTGGACCCTATGTATGGATGGAGGCCTGGCTCGCTTCCTTACTTGCTGTGTGGTGCAATTCCTCCGAGCCTCGTGTTCTCATCTGAGAATGGCAGCCTCTCTGAGGATGTCTAAGAGGTGGGCTGAGAGGGTGAAAAGTCAAAGTGTGAACCTGGTGCACAAGCTGGATTAGGAGAGCTGGGAAAGGGGAGCCTGGAGGTCCATGAGCCTCCTGCTCTTAGGCAGAGCCTTCTGCCTTCCCAGCAACCCACTTCCCTGTGCTGGAAGCCTGGAGTTTCTGACTCTCTCCATCTGTGATGTGTCATTGCACAAGACATCAGTCTGGCTAAATCCTCCTCCCTACCTGGCTTGGTCCAAGTCTCCCTGGGCCCTGTTTCCATGCTACATTGGTGACCTTCTGGCCTCTCTCCCTCTCTCACCAGCCACCCTTCTACAGCCAAGATGTTTCCCAAATGTATGAGAACATTCTGCACCAGCCGCTAAAGATCCCCGGGGGCCGGACGGTGGCTGCCTGTGACCTCCTGCAAGGCCTTCTCCACAAGGACCAGAGGCAGCGACTGGGCTCCAAGGCAGACTTTGTAGGTGATCTGGCCGGAGAGCGCTGGCCACAATGGGGCTCTCAGTTTCCTGCAGGGGCAGCTTAGGAGCACATCAGCATGCCTCCTTCAGCCCTCTAAAATCAGGCGCCGCTAACTCGTTCATCTGGAAATTCACTACTGCTGCTAGCCAACTACTTTTATTACTCTAGTTCTTATAGTCAGCCAATGTTTATTGAGCACCTACTATGTGCCAGACATTGAGTTAGGTGCAAGAGACTTAACAAACTTATTAGGCTTGGGTGTGGGAAGAGGGTGCCAAAAACAAAAATTGCAGTTATCACCAAGTGCCAAGTGTCAGTAAGGAAATGAACACTGAGTAGATAAAAACAATAATGGGAGTGGGAAATTCACACTGTAATGGCCACTGGGTCCTCTCTGAGCAGGTGACAGTGAAGCTGAGACTTAAAAGATGAGCAAGAGCTGTTAACGGGCCTGGGTGATGGCACCCCAGACGCAGGACACAGTATGTGCAAAAGTCCTGTGTTGGGAAAAAGGACAATAGTACACTTTGGGTATTCTGAGCAGGGAAGTAGAGTGACCTAAGTTTCTAGAAGCTTCCTCTGGCTTCTGTGCAGAGTGGACTAGACTTTCTTTTCACAAATATCTGAACAATTCTTTCCAGAGCCCAGGCTGGGCCCTTGGAATATAAAGATGTCATTTCCATAATAACGTTGTGATTCTTTTTTTGAGACAGGGTCTCCCTGTAGTTCGGACCGGTCCTAAACTCACTATGTAGCCTAGGCTGGCCTCAAGGATCATGGTGATCCTCCTGCCTCGGCCTCCCAAGTGATGAGATTACAGGCATGTGCCACCATGACTGGCTCATGCTTCTTTTTTTTATTAAAGTACCACTTAAAAAATAAAGTAGAACTTTAAAAATAATCTTACAGCTGGGTGTGGTAGCTGTGATCCCGGCACTCAGAAGACTGAAGCAAAAGGATCCCTGTCAGTTTGAGGCCAGCTTGGCTACATAGTAGTTCAAGGCCAGCCTGAACTGCATAGTGAGGCCCTGTCTCAAAAAAAAAAAAAAAAAAAAAAAAAAAAAAAAAAAAAAA